GAGCTGTCCAGAAAGGGGGCTGCCTGCCTCCTGGACGGCAACTGGGCCGCATTACAAGTGATTCAGGGCCAAAGGTTGGACACGCTTGATCTGAGGCTAAGTATACGATTTCTGGGTAATTATTTTGCCATTATAATTCTATGTTCAGTTGGATACAATGAAAGAATTTTTAATGACCAATCACAAATACAAACTTAAAAAAGTAGAGTACTTCTTTCAAAATCCCAAATGTGGATTTTCAATATATGTATGTATATATATATATATATATATATATATATATATATATATATATATTTATTTATTTATTTATTTTATTATTATTTATTTATTTATTTTTAATTAAGGACCATTTAAGATCAAGCATTTTGACAATAGTTTCTGAAAGGAGAAATTCCTGCAAGCAGATACAAACTGGTCCTGGAGCCATTGTGGAAACATTGTATACTTCCAAGATGAAGATGATCTCTGAGAGATGTTCTTTTATAAACTGTTTTTCCATCCACAATGGAATTATCATCCATCTACAATTTGCAGAATAGAAAAGAAAAAAAAACGTAAAAATAAACTGCATATTAAAAATAAAGAGACACCAGTCTCTTGGCAGCATCGCCATGCAGCATTAGGGTAACATACAGTCAGAATGCAGAGCAGATAGTATTGTAAATAAACAAGGTTGTTACATAACAAAGGTTATTAATTCACAAATGGGTAAAACTTTGCATACATATACACACAGTTGGATTTTACACATGCCAGACCTAAAAGTCCTGTCAAGACAGAGCAGGTTTCCAGCTTGGAGGTAGATAAACATTACTATCATGGCGAGCATTTGTTGATTTTGTTGAGGTTTAAAGAACCAGATTTAACAACTCATTGTCACGGCAACTATGAGCCCGAAAGTAAAACAGATTTTTTCCCCCAAAAGCCTTTGTACTATGGGCCTATATTTACAAATTCTGCTGGAGCTGCTTTTTTGAATTTATAAGGAACTGTCAAAATGCCTGTTGAATCCAGTAGGACTGAGGCATTCTTTTCACGGTGTGGTTCTGCAATAATGAAATGAAAAGCAAACAAAGTTCCGTGCTTCCACATGTAGGACTGAGGTTTTCACGTGCGAGAAATGATATACAAATCTGTGTACAATTCAGACACGAGATTAAAGAGAAATGATAGCAACACTAGATGTTCCCGTATTAAAGATTATTTTCTGACATTTTCAGATATGTATGTAAATATTTTCATAGCATGACACAACTTGAAATATTTGAAATTACTGTGTTTTGGGAGACAATTATCCAAAACCCATAAACCAGTGTTGCGCTCAAAATATACTTAGCATACATTGATCAAAGAAAATCTGTAAAAAAAATTAAAAACACAATCTAGTGCAGATTATCCTTATTATAATACACTTTGCTTCATATACATATATGAGGGTCACACTCACATTAACCAAAGCCCTATCAACCCTGGATCTGGGTGAGAACGGCTCCACTTGAGAGGGAATAACTCCCACAAGCCCTGTAGCTATTCTCACCCAGATCCAGGGTTGATAGGGCTCTGGTTAAAGGACCACTATAGGTACCCAGACCACTTCAGCTTAATGAAGTGGTCTGGGTGCCAGGTCCAGCTAGGTTTAACCCTTTTTTTTATAAACATAGCAGTTTCAGAGAAACTGCTATGTTTATCAATGGGTTAATCCAGCCTCTAGTGGCTGTCTCTTGACAGCCGCTAGAGGCGCTTGCGTGCTTCTCACTGTGAAAATCACAGTGAGAAGACGCCAGCGTCCATGGGAAATCATTGTGAATGCTTTCCTATGGACTGGCTGAATGCGCGAGCGGCTCCTGCTGCGCATGCGCATTCAGCCAAAGAGGAAGGAGAGGAGGAGGAGAGCTCCCCGCCCGGCGCTGAAGAGGTAAGTTTAACCCCTTCATCTCCCCAGAGCCAGGCAGGAGGGGGACCCTGAGGGTGTGGGCACCCTCAGGGCACTATTGTTCCAGGAAAACGAGTATGTTTTCCTGGCACTATAGTGGTCCTTTAATGTGAGTGTTACCCTCATATATGTATATGAAGCACAGTGTATTATAATAAGGATAATCTGCACTAGATTGTGTTTTTTTTTACAAATTTTTATTTGCACTGTATGCTAAGTATATTTTGAGCGCAACACTGGTTTATGGTTTTTGGATTATTTTGTCACTTTAGGTGATTGCCACTTATTTTCTCAAGCACAATTTATTTATTTTTTAAGCGCTATCCACCTTTTGGTTATTATATTGTTGTTGAGACAATTATGTTCCCATCTGGGAACATTTTCAGTTCTTTTTGCCTGGATATTTCCTTGAGGAGACAGTAAGGGTGTTGTCCCAGAATAAACAAGGGGTGGTGGATCTACAAAAATGGGCATAAAAAGGTGTGAGAGAGAGAAAGGGTCAGTTTCACCAATTAAATAGACTAAGCTAGCGGACTCTACGTGAGAGTAGGTGGTGCTACTCTCCTCGAAGAATAGTTTCATCTGGAGCCCAAATGACTAAACCTACATGATCTAGAGCATACCTTACTGATGATCCTACTGAGCCTATTCAAAACAGGTGCAAAACAGCCCATCAGATGTACTCAATGCAAATGGAACAGTGACCACTTGCCTGATAAAACTAGTGCACCATTTAAAACATTTTCACTACAAAAATATGTATGCATTGTGTATATTTGTGCCTCAGTGCCGGCCCCTAGACAATGTGCTGCCTGGATCCAAGGATGAAATGCTGCCCCCCGCCAAAAAAACAAACCCATATGTTTATGCAATGGTAGTGTCTCTGTGTGTGTGTGCTGGGGATAAAATGTGTGTATGTTTGTGTACTGGGGATGAAGTGTTTGTCTAACTGTGTGCTGGGGATGATATGTGTCTGTGTTTGTTGTGGATGAAGTGTGTGCCTGTGTGTACTGGGGATGAAGGGTGTGTCTGTACTGGGGATGCAGTATGTATCTGTGTGTGCTGGGGATGTAGCGTGTGTCTGTGTGTGCACTGCAGCCAATACACTTACCTATGCACTGTGTCTGTGTACATGCATGTGTGTCAGTGTTTGTATCTGTGTGTCTGTATCTGTGTCAGTGATTGTATCGGTTTGTCTATGTATCTACATGTGTGGCAGTGTTTGTATCTGTGTGTCTGTATATCTCCACATGTATCAGTGTGTCTGTGCAACTATATGTGTGTCTGTGCATCTGCATGTGTTTCAGTATATGTATCAAACACTGACATACATGCAGATATTGACATACATACAGATGTACACACACACACACACTGATACGCATGCAGATACACACACACACACACACACACACTACACACATAGATACACACATTAAAAAATTAAACCACCTAGAAATTTCTTATCTTCTGCTGGCTGTGGCTGGTGAGAGTTGGGGGCCTGCTTTCCTCCTCCAGCCCCATCCTTGCGGCTCCCTCCTCGCACGACCGGTCCCCTCATTGCATATGTCCATCAGGTGGCCCTAAGAGCATGGGCCACCTGATGGACTTTAACACAGGTTCCAACCCATGTGGTCAGGGCCGCCATCAGGGCATGACAACCATAATGGTTGTCATGGGC